GCGTGCAGCGAGAGGACAAGCGGCAGGAACCGGAGGAGGGCGCGTAAGCGGGCTTGGTGGTGGAGGCGGCGCTCGTGGGCGCGGCAGAGGCGGAGGAGGGAGGCGCAGTCTCGGAGTAGGACTTGAAGGCCTTCGGCCGTCGGGCGGCAATGGTGGAGCCATTAGCCAAAGCGGAGCTTGAACGCCCTTATCGGGAGGGTCAAGGAGAGAGGTCTTTCTCCGGCTTACTCGTCGTCGGCGAAATCGGCGCCTTGGCCCGCGCTCCGGCCAGTGGCGGAGCTCGAACAAAAATTTAGGTCTTTTGAATGACATCGGAGACGCAACTTTTGAATGACATCGCAAGGGGCACATCATTAACTAATTTATGACAAATTTAAACATTGATGGTTGATGGTACCTCTCATCTATTAATTCAATAAAGACCAACCGAGCAACAAGTGTTCATATTAAAGACCAAAATCTAACTTTCCAAAAGCTAAGAAACCAGAAAATTTGAAGAACAAATTAGTTAATGACTTTGTGTCATATACGAGAAGACATTCAAACATACCAAGATCTGCTTAGCCTGCTCCTCCCTCTCCCTCCCCTATCATCTGCTCGTGCCCCCACCAAATCCTCCTCCTCCATCAGAGCGGCCTGCCTGCACCGTTGTTACGAGCGTGAACGGGCGCCGGCACGCCGCGCAGCTCGGGGATGGCCGGTCGGGGCGGCTGCAGCGAGTGTCGTGGCTTGGCCGCGTGGGCTTGGGGCTGCACGTACGGCTAGGGCCTGGGGCGCCGCGCGGAGCTCCGACCTCTGCGCCGGCAGACCGCGGATAAACGAAGGTCAAGAGCGGTGAGCGGCGAGCGCGACGAACGCGGCTCCGGCTGGAGTGGGAATTAGGGGTTGCCGGGTTGGGGCACTTCCACTTGGGTCGGCTCCCAGCTGGGCTTATTGGGCCTAATTTTCTTCCCTCCCCGTTTTTCCTTGTGCCTGGTTACGCTTTCTTGCGTTGGACGTCGGACGCCGCCGCTCCTTCGCTGGCCGAAAGGGAGGAAGAAAAGGGGTACTAGTGGTGCTACTCCAGCGGTAGGTGGGGCAGCTGCCCCACCCTGCCGCTTGGGGAGCTCCGCCTATGGCTCCGGCGATGGCCGTGGCAGCCGTGGCCGCCTCGTGCGGTCCTCCGCTCTCATGCTCCCATGATTCGAACTTGGAAAGACTTTCAGGGAACTTAGCTTTCGCTCTCTTTAATCATGCTGCGAATAGCGCGATAGTGGGCTGCTTTCATTTTGAAATTTGGGCCAAATTGCCCCGAATCGGTAACAAATTAACACGAACATAAAGCCGACGATATGGGTCGGAGATGCATGTGATTCTTGATGTGTCGATCCCATCATCATCGACGATGTAAGACAGAGATAATAAGATGTTTGTTGTGCCGTTCAAGAACTACAACGCGTTTCTTCGTTGCTAAGGGTGTCGGCTTCAAGCTGCAAGCTCATGAGTTCTCTGCCTCTTTATGCAGCGGTGGTCCGTCATGTGGCTCATCCGATTGCCGATGAGAGCCAGGAGATCCTTACAAGGACTTGAATGTATTTTTTGCTTTTCTCAAGGGTGTCTTTGTAAGGAAGCCAATGTACTCTATCATATGTGAAACTAAGAGAATATAGGATTCTAGATAATTTAAAAAGAAATTATACTATTTATATTTATAGTCATATGAATGAAACTATCTTAAATTAATTTTGGTGAATGGTTTGACATACCGATGTGGACACCTAAATGTATGTTAGTGATGGAGAGATAACTATTATAATTACATGTGCTAATTGGCTATAATTGCAAGTTCTAGTGAATTATTGATGTGGATAGCTTGTCATGGTGAAAGAAATCTCTAATGAGGTTTAGCTTTATAAGAGTATAGGATAAAACCGGGTTTCTCTCTAAAAAAACACAAAGCCGACGATATGAACAAAGCAAGCAGCATGATTTCATGATGTTGTTGCGATTTCTGGCGAATACATTTACAGACAAATCGTGCTATGTGCCACGACCTGGGGTCATTTCTAACTATAACTCTCAGCAAATGCTAGACACAACAGAGTTCTGTGCTCTACAGCAGCGCTGACAGAGATCCTCACTGGAGTTTCTCCATCCCGTAGGTATCTTTAGCTCCACTGGCTACCTTTCTCAGAGCTTTGAGATGTACCATTAAAATTCATCTATTTTGAGATCTACCATTATAATTCATCGTTTCACTGAGTTTCACCATTTTTTACGTCTTCCAGCTGCTTGGGCCCACTGGCAGTCATATGCGCACTGTTCTCTTTTCTGTATGGACGATTTTGCCCTCGTCCGAAGATGAAAGAGCTCTGCGCTGCGCCCATGGCCCCATCTCTCAGTCCCTTCTCCTCACGCTCACTCTATCTCTCACCCTCTCGTCCTCCCGCCGCGACGACGGCGGCGGAACCCTAACCCTAGCCGCCGGTGTCCTAGAGCCCGTGCCCGCGCCCGAGTCAGCTGTCGCCGCCGGCCAACTCCACTGCCGCCCGCGCCCGAGTTGTCCTCCCATGGCCCCATCTCTTGGTCTGTAGGCTCTGCTCCGTGGCTGCGCCTAGCTTTTGAAGCCATGGTCGGGCAATGGACTAGAAGCCCGATGAAGGTACCTTCCACGAGCTCGAGCGCGACAGGCAGCGGCAGAAGGGAGTGCCCTTATTGCCATGTTCCTTTGGTCCGGATCCAGAGCAAGCAGCCGGCAACAAAGGGTTAGTGGTTTCTCATGTGCCCGTACAACATTAAGGTTAGGATTCTTGACATTGTTGACCTCACTGTGTCTCTTGATGCTACTCTGATTGATGTTTTTTTGTGTGTAGGGTGATCATACTACCTGCGGCTTCATCTGCTCTGAGTTGCAGATTGAGGCCTTGGAAGCAAAGGCACGCCGGTTGCAGACTGGTAAGGAGACATCAGCTGACAGTTATGCCGAGTTAAAGGAAGAATTGCAAGAGTTGAAGCAAACTGTGGATAGTGTTGTAGCTAATCTGTGGAAACTGAAGGTCCAACCTGCTGAGACGAAGCCTGAGCTGGACACAAAGAAATGCCATATTGTGCTTGATTGTTCAGTTGTATCGCTAGTTTTTTTTGGCTTTGTAGGTGTCCTGATTGGTGCATTTGTTGTTGCTGTTATGTGGAAGTGAACAGCTAGAATGTGTGTTAGTCAGCTAATGTAAGTGTGGGTTGGTTGTGTTGGAGCTGTGGTTGCCTGTTTCTTTTGTGTACTGATGAGGTCCAAACCTTCTAATTAAGTTACAAATATGTGGTTAGCTTCTAGTAAGCTCAACTTGATCTGTGGTAGCTTAATACCGTTGTGGTCTAGATGTAATTCTAGGACAGTTTTTAGTCTAGCTTTCATGAGTTTGGCCACATATGTATACAAATCAGTTAATACTAGAAAACCTGGGGCGCGGCAAACGCCGCACCATGTTTGAGCAAAGCTTGTGTTGATCTTTTCAGTGTTCAACAGCTTTAGATGAACAAAAAATGAATAAATGTTAATGTTGGTTACAGACTACATATCAAATTGTTGATGTATGGGTACAGATCTTACATGTAGAGATGTAACAAGTGTAACAATGCATTATGGAGGTTACACAAAATCTAGAGGTAAACAACTGTGACATCTGAATTTAGGCACTTGTGCCTAAAGAGCCAAAACTGTCTAGACATAAGACATAACAGAATAAAGTTGTCTCCTAGTTCAGCAGATAATGATCACTTCTGAATTCAGGAATTTGTTTCATGAAAAGCAAAATACAAATAACTCCGAGAAACATGCATAGCGACCACTTCGACTGTTGTCTCCCAGTTCAGCAGATAATGATATGCTTGAACCTTGCTGCTGCAAGTGACATGTGGCAAAGAGGAATGCCAGCACTTAAACCAGTAGCACAGGACTCAGCAACAAGCGCAATTCAACACTTAAACCCAACTACAAGGTTCTAGGATTCTAACACTTAAATCAACATAACAGCATACCAGTAGCAGCATACCAGGTTCAACTACTGATCTTACAACCATACAAGGTTCCAGCATACTAGGTTCACAACCATACAAGGTTCTAGCATTCTAACTACAAGGTTCTAGGAATCCAACTACAATGTTACACAAAAGCATATCATAAACTACAACAAGGTTCAACTGCTGATCTTACAAAAGCATACCAGTAGTAGCATACAAGTTCTCTTTTTATTACAAAAGCATATCATAAGCTGCTGACAAGCTCTAGTCTTCATAGACTAGCCTCCTAAGGCTACTAACAACAGTAGTAGATGGGTCGGCTGTTGCCTTCTTGAGCTTTTTCTTGATGGGTGTCTTCTTCTTCTTTGGTGTGCCCTTCTTCTTCTTTTTCTGAACTTTTTGTTTCTTGCCTTGGGAGGGACCAGCTGCATCTATTGGAGCTTCTTTCCTACATTTTAAAGGTGATATTACATATTGTGAAGTGAAAAACAATGAGACAGATTTAGTGCATAGAAACATACCTTTTGTTAGCCTTATTCCTTGGTGGAGCTCTCTCACCATCTTCTCCAATCTCTACCTATTTGCTAGTTTTTGAAAAGTGGCCAAAATCTCCACATCTCCTACATTTAACCTTTTTGGATGCCCTTTTCTCCAAGCAACCTCTATGCCTTTGAACCTTTGGTCTTCCTGCTCCTCTGCCTAGCAACGGTGGAAACACTTTGAATCCAAGTTCCACAACAGGCCATTGTGACCTATCTAGGATAGGTTCAATTCTGTCCTCATAGGTTGCCTTGAACCTAGCCACTAAGTGATACTCATGGACAAAATCTTTAATTTTCACCCCCTCTGTTGGACAGGATCCATGCCAAAGCATGTTTGTAGGGCTTCCCTATCAACTGCCACTCCCTGCGGGAGCATTTATGGTTCTGCAAGTCAACTGTTTATCTTTTCTGATTGTTCCACTCATCCAAGATGGTCATTTCTGTAATATCAACATCACTAACTCATACCTTGACCACTTTGAGGTTATTGCTGATCAAGTTGAGCTCCTTCATCACATTTGGGAGTATTCCATCTGTCCACTGCCTAGCAAGCATCTTCCTAATGTATCTCTTCTCCATGATCAGCTCTCTGATTCTGTCAACTAATTCATGTAGTAGCAGACCTTTGAACTTCTTTATTTGTGCATTGAAGCTCTCTGAAACATTATTTGTCAAGTAGTCACACTTGTTGTTTTCTGAAAATGCACACCTGTACCAGATCCTGTTGTGGTGCTCCTCAAGGTACTCGATGGCTTCAGGTGCAAACTAAAAAAAATTCTTCATGTGCCACTGAAATAGCCCTTGTGTGTAGCTTCTAGCTATAGGGTACAAGTGATCAGGGAACACCTCACCAGAATACTTCTTCAAAAAATTCTGATACAAATGCTTCATGCACTCCCTGTTTTCAGCTTGCGGGAAGACAGACCCCACTGCAGTCTCTAGTCCTTTACATACATCTGTACATATAACTAGATTTGGAACATCTCCTGCAACCTTATGCAGCTGCTGCAGAAATCATTTCCAATTATCTTCAGTTTCTGACTCAAAAATTGCATAAGCTATATGGTACAACCAATTATGTCCATCCACACCAGTAGCTGAAGCTAACTGACCCCTGTATTTACCATGCAAACAGAAAGCATCTACCCCAATAAAAGGTCTACAACCAGATAAGAATCCATCCGCACATGGTCTAAGAGCAACAAACATCCTCTTGAATCTATTTTTGGTGCCAATCTTCTCTAACTCTATCTCTAGTAAGCTACCAGGGGATACTTTCTCAATTTGAGCACCCAATTGAAAAGCAACTGAAAACTCTCATATTTATCATGGATCTGCTCTAAAGCTACCTTCATACCTGACCATGCCTCGGAGTATTTCAACTTAATGCCATAGTCACCCTCCAATTTGTCTCTGCACTCAGTTGCACCTTTGGTTGGATTCTTCTTCAGCCAGTCTGCCAACCTATCTGCACACTAACATTGGGTGGACATCTTCCCTTTTGTGAGTTTTGTGGTAGGACAGTTGTGTTCAAAAGGTAGCCTTTTGATCTACACAAACAAATACAATAGGACATTAGTTGCATAAATAACAAATTTAATAAACAAACAACTCCAACAGTAATGACAATTTTACCTCTATTGTCATGCCATAAGAATTTCTAGAAGCATGTATACGCCAAGGACATCCCTCTGCTTTACACTTGACAATAAATCTAGTAGGGTCAGTTTGCAGACCAGCAAACTCAAAGCCTGTCTTCATTGCATGATGCCTAATTGCCTTCCTGAATGCAACAATATCAGGAAAGAGCCCTCCTTTCACAATCTTGGGGTTTTCTGGATCATGAATCACATGGACCTCCTATGGATCTGCATCATCAATCTCTGCCTCAAGAGGAACACCTCCTGCAGCAGCACCACAATCATTTGCATCAGCATTAGCACATGGTTGTGGGTGAGAACTGTTAGCAACCTGTGCATTGTTAGTGTACTGATGAGGAGGTACTGGCATGTACATTCCCTCATCATCGACACCCACATACTCCTCATTATCAAACATGTCTGGCTCCCTGTCAGGCTCTAGTTCAGGCTCTAAAGGATACTCTGGTCCTTCATCTGGCTCACTAGTAGGCTTGGTAGCAGGGCTAACAAGAGGATTAGGCTGCTCAACAGGATCTGGAATAGGATTCTCATGCCTATTGGGATCTGGACTAGGATTCTCATGTTCAACAGGTGGAATCACACAAAGAGGCTCTAGGGTAGCAAACTCATCAACATCTACAACTTTTCTTTCAAAAATTCCTACAACAAGTTGGCAATGCATCTGATCCTTATACATTTCAAACACATCATTCAGCTGGAAGTCATTAACTAGTCTGACGTCTTCACACATCCTTTTGTCAAAGAACCACACACAAGGACTCTGGGTAGGGGACCATTTGAACTGATTGGTCAAGCTTTGCATCAGCAACTCAAAAGTGAACGATCCTACCTCCACATCCCATTTAATCACACTACCCTTCGTGTAAGCTTTCCTACCATTACTGTCTGTAGTACAGAAACCTTCAACTTTAATCTCTAAGGAGAACAACCGAACCCTAGCAGCAAACAAACAATTCGCAAATAAATACACTAGGGTTAGCGCAATTCCTCGACCTACTCGCATCGCTACTCAGACTCAAGAGATTGAAGGTTGGAGATCCATACCTCTCCTCGTCGTGCTCCATGTCCGCGGGGTTAGCCATTGCGCTCAATGGAACACCATCGTGAGGTCGCTGAAGAGGCTCCAATCGACCGGGATCCGGGAGGACAGCTCGGGCGCGGACGGTAGTGGAGTTGGCCGGCGGCGGCTGCTGACTCGGGCGTGGGCGCGGGCTCCAGGACGCCGACGGCTAGGGTTAGGGTTCTACCGCCGTCGCCGCATCGGGAGGACAGAGAGTGAGAGATAGAGTGAGCGCGAGGAGGAGAAGGGACTGAGAGATGGGGCCACGGGCGCAGCGCAGGGCTCTTTCATCTTTGGACGGGGGCAAAATCGTCCATACAGAAAAGAGAACAGTGCGCATACGACTGCCAGTGGGCCCAAGCAGCTAGAAGACGTAAAAAATGGCGAAACTCAGTGAAACGATGAATTATAATGGTAGATCTCAAAATAGATGAATTTTAATGGTACATCTCAAAGTTCTGAGAATTGTAATGGTACCAATCCAAATAGACAAATCGTGCTATGTGCCACGGCCTGCGGTCATTTCTAACTATCACTCTCAGCAAATGCTAGACACAACAGAGTTCTGCGCTCTACAGCAGCGCTGCCAGAGATCCTCACTGAAGTTTCTCCATCCCGTAGGTATCTTCAGCTCCACTGGCTACCTTTCTTCTCCTCTCCGCTATCATCTCGGTGTATGCCTGAGAGAAGCCACCACAGGGTCAGTTCTATTCTACTGTATCATTCTTTGAACTACGTTTGTAACCCAACACTATAGAAGCAATGTTTAGAATAGGGTTAGGCCAAAGGTATTTGACACAGAAGAAATGCTTAATTGACTGATATGCTGCAGCTAGAGATTGGAACTGGTAGCACAGACAATGCTCCTGCCTCCTGACTAATAGCCATCTGGATATCTGGAACTAGATGAAGTTTTGGAGCCAGTAAGCAACTCAGCATTCTGAGCTTTGGCATGGATGATGAGTAGTTGCTACCCTATAGTTTGCATATGTCAAACCAGTTGCAAAGATAAATCTGCATTGATATAAGTGTACCATTTGCAGTTTGAAAGCACCGTATGCTAAAGATGATACAAAACTATGTCAAAGCACATGTGCTATCTTCCTTGATTAACACTCAGAAAAAAAAATCATGATTATTGAAAGAACTAAACTGAAGCCTGTATCACACATTACAAGAACAACTTCTAATCAATCATCTAAGAAACGAAATCATAAAACAGAAATTAAATTGTTAGAAAAAAAATGATGTGCAAACCTTAGGGTAGGAGTAGAGAAATATGTACCACCATGCACATATTACAAAAGAAACTCCAGCAGTAATTACAGCAGATTGGATAAGCACCCAACTACAGGCGACCGCAACAGTTCCCGTAAGCAATATTGTCCAAGGCTGACACCTGAAAAGGGGGAAAATATAAGACTTGAGCACTATGGAAGAAAGGATATCTTCACATAAGGTAAAACTCTTGATGTTGAAAAAGGCAACGTGAGAAGAGGTTTGGAAAAATCTAATAACTCCTTTCTAGACTATAGATATGGCACTATTCGCATAGCTCCATTACCTCATGATGAATTTTGGAAGCTGAATGTTGTTATTGTGTACAAGAACCACAGGCAATAAAAAATATCATCAATTACATCATGGCTTGTTTACACTTTACAGGCAAACAAAGAAAAAAATTGGAAGGGCTAAGCATGGAGCAGACTCTGCAACAAAATTTGATGGGCTGTTCATTAAAAAAAAATAGAAGTTCATGTATATCGTATTTAGTACGCACGCCATTCAAAAATTGTCGTCAGGGCCAATATTGACAATAATATTAAAGTAATTTCTAATTTTCTTTTAAAAAACGAACAAGCAAGAGAATTAATTTCGAATCTACATCTGACAATAAACAAAGCTACGATAACAAATTTGGGGCATCTCTACGATGTGTTGGCAAATAAACCATGCTTAAATGTCTACATACTACAACATAATCTTCGCCAATTTTGATCAATGCAATGTCCAGCAAGAAACAACTACGGAGGAGCAAAGGAACGGACCAGGCAGGCTTGGTGTCCCAGACAGAGTCGTACTCGAGGGACAGGTAGTTGAGGTACCCATCCATGTCGTCCACCACCCCATCCTCATCAAAGAACGCCGCCGCGCCGCTCTTGCCACTCTCCCCCTTGCCCCCGCCGCCGCCACCTACCCGCGCCACTCCGGCGCGCCTCTGGCTCCTGCCGCAGAGCTGCAGCCTTGTGGCGGCAGCGGTGGCAGCACAGGAGAAGAAAGGGGAAGGCGCGGCCGCGGCCGCGGTCGCGCGGGCGCCGCATGGGCAGGGCGGCGGCGTGGATGGGTAGAGCAGGCAGAGCGCGCCCATTTCTTGGCTTGTGTTCGCAGTATGGCTTCGGCCTCCTCTTCCTTCCGTCCGGCGGCTGCCGATGCTGCGGTTAAGGCCAGTGTTTGCTCTGATTTCCTGGCAATTTTTGTGTGCCGTATATCATCTTGCAATTAAAAGATTTTGGCAATTCTCAGAGGTTCCGGCCCAATAGAAAGTAATAAAGCCTTGATATTGGAGACGTCCTGTTCTTGCAGCCCAGATCCTCGTGATGGTGTTATTGCCAACGGGACGCAGTATCAGCAAAATGAGCACTAGTTTCCTAAAAAAGCAAAAAAGCAAAATGAGCACTAGCGCGGTTTGTAATAAGTCTTTTTTTATCTATTTGTTCCTAATTAAATCAATTTTTAGAGTTATCTTAAATAGAACTTTTATAAGTTTAACCAAATTTATAGAAAATAATATCAATATTTATATAACACGAAAGTAGTATTATTAGACACATATCATGAAATGTTTTCATAGTCTACATTTGGTGTCATATGTTAATATTCTTTCCTTTAAAGTTGATCAAATTGACTTAAGAGAGCTATAAAAATTAATTTATTTATAGACAGAGAGAGTATTTGAACTATCATAGTGATATTGTTTTCTTTCTCGGATCTTAAATTCAGAAAACTTACGCTTGGTAATCTTGGTAAGTTTTATGAAATACTACTTGTAATCTTGGTAATCTTAAATTCAGAAAACTTACGTAATCTTGGTAATCTTGGTAAATTAAGATTTCTAAATTTAAATTACCTCTCTACCAAGATTACAAGTAGTATTCAAGGTGGTTTCATCTTTTTTAGTTTAAAAATATCATAAATACATGATAAAAAATTTAAACCACGAAAATGTATATAGGGCTCTTAAAATTCTAAGAAAGAATCTAGAGATAGATGAGACAAACTTGTTCATGCACCACCAGACCTAACCCGCTCGAAAGTGCAAAAAATGAGATATAACCTGACCCAACCCACCAGTGCGTAATCATTTTTTTAGTCGAACACGATGATTGATCAAGTCTAGATTGAGATACGAAAAACCAGAAAAATGTTTAAAACTCAAGAAAGGATATGTAAAAGGTTCTAAAAAATAGAGTTAGCTGAATAAAAGGTTCTAAAACCTTGTGAAAGTATAGAAAAAATGGGGGGGGGGATCCAAATATTGTAATCAATCTGTAAACACATTTTGAAAACTTTTCATAGCAAAAACATAAGATTCAAATGCATTCAACATTAAATGTATGTTGCATTCTTGCTAGTTGCATCTATTTTTTATTATGAAAAGTCTTTAACATGCATTTAGGCATAAATTAAAAATGTTTTGGATTTTTTTCTATTTTTTGGATTTTTTTCATCGTCAAGACCTAAATCTACTTTGGAAGCTTAATATTTAATATTTTATATTTTATATGGGTTTTTGGTCCTAATTTATGTCTAAATTGTTTTCTCATATTTTTTTAGAAACCTAGAGATATTTTATGTGGTTTAAAAACCTTACATACATTTGTTCTTTTTTACTGAAAAAAAAGACAAAACCATCTTGAAAATCACTTCTAATCCTGGCCAAGAGGTGATTTAAATGATTTTAAGAATTGAGGTTCAAAATTTTTTAGAGTTCAATGAGGAAAATCGACCATAGCTATAGTTCACGAAGGTAAAATGGAATTCTCCTAGTGATTTTATCGTATCAAAGCTCAAGACTCATGAGTCCATGAGTTATCAAGGAGATAAAAAAGGCTCATGACTCAAGAGTGAGCAAAGTAAGATCGAGACTGCCCATCAAGCTGAAAACTTTTGCAGGAAACTTTTTTAAAATGACAAAGTTAGAATGAGACATACTCGTGTTTATATCAATAAAGAAAAATGCTAAAGTCGTAAGCCAAAAAACGGAAAGACGAAGCACGAAATAAAAGACTTTGAAGCTAGGGCAAATAAGTTAGTGCCCTAGGACCCTGGTAACAAGCACGTTACACACCGTTGAAAAATAATTACTCAAAAATAAGAGCACGCACCTAATCACCTATACCACCATCTCAAGAAACCGTTCATATTAAACCAAGAAATTATAACTGTCTAAAGTAAAAACGAACTGAATTCTGCACTCAGCTCACCTGGCAATCCTTATCGACTTATCCTCGCACGCGTGGCATTCTTGTGTCGAAAAGGACCGTCGCAGCATGGCAGACACATGCTGGACCTGGACATGCTCACATGCATGTGCCCACCAAACTGCAAACCGTCTTCAGAACGCACACTACACTCCAGACATCCAGGACGCGACGCTCACCCCACTGGTAGCCAGACTGATTGTACTGGTACACGGCAGAGGCTCCGAGCAGAACGCTATCCGGATGCAATCGGGCGGACAAGAACCGTGACTCATCCCCACGTACGGGCCACTGCCCTCTCCGGCTAGGCACGCCGTCAGACTCGATAAGGCCAGCTCGTCGTATCCCTCGACTGAGCCTGACGACGATGCGCATGCGCCCTCGCCGTCGTCCCCGACGATGATAACTTGGTGGCGACGGCGACGTGATCGATCGGCAAGCCGAGCGAGCAAAAGATGAGACCGACCGTGTGGATAGCGACGACAGCGCGACGTGACGAGGACCGGCGATCGATCAATGATCGCCGATGACGCGGCGTGCGGCCACGCAGAATAAGGCCCTGTTCGTTTAGAGAAATTTGTGAGAGCGTGAACAATAACTTTTCATCCGTAAACAGTGAATTTCTGGCTGGTTTTTGCTCCAGCCGAACGGCGCCTAAACTAACATGCTGCCGATCGATGCCAGCCAGGAGATCGTGTAGTTTCTAGAACGCACGCAAAGCCCAACGTCCCATTCCCATGATGATGATTCCATTTCCATCCGTCCGCGTCATGGCCCAACGCCCGCGCGTGTCACGCTCCACTGACCATGCCACCGTGCAATTGAGTCGCCAACACCCAACAGCAACGACGATCCATAGGCTAATAAGCACGCACTGATCGTGTTTCACACGGAATCAGTGACGATTGATTGCTAAACTGCGGCTCGATCGGATTGGGACATGTGGAGAAGAGAACACGCGATAGTCACATAAGTACGATTTGTTATTCTTATCATAATACATATGGATGACTCGTCATGCACCTGGAATTGCTGCTTTACATGCACTGACAACCGGTGCTGATCAGAAATGTGTATGTACATGCCTGTCAGCTAGGTACAGATAGATAGATATTCACACACGCACGCCGGATCTCATCGGCATCTTGTCGATGCTGTGGTCCGAGCGTTCACTCTCGCCGCCGGCGACGACGCCCCAGATCTCCGGGATGGCCCGCCGGAGCGCGCCGATGTTCTCCAGGGCGTAGTCTGCTTCCTTGCTCCTCACCCTCTTGCCAACCTGAATGAAAAAAGAGATTAACGAATGGGTTAATGCTGGTTTTCAGAGAGGCATCGCATCAATGGATAAGACTGTGCAGCATGCTGGTGTTCAGAGAAGAAACTTGTGTTAGACACAAGAGTTAATTGTGTAGTACTGCTGTGTCGATGCATCGACATGCATGATCGCCCCAAAGGCAGACAGGCAATGTGCGTGCTGACGTGACGGCGCAACCACGCACTATCGATATGTTGCCAGGACTACGGAAACAAATGAAAACGTATGCGTCAGCTAGCAGTGCGCTCATTTTTGTTTCCTTGTCCCGTTCCCAAAACGCCAAAACCAGCGGAGATGATATTTCTCCTTGCTCTCCCCTGATTTGTGGCGAAGAGAGACCCTTGAATCGACAGGCACCGTCCAAATTCAAGAATTCTACCGATATAAAATTCAACATGGACAAATGACATGAGGAGAGGAAAGCGAACTTTTCTTTCGTTTTCGCCCGCTCAAGAGAAGAAAAAAGAATAAGAGAAGATAGGGTATGGTATGTTTGTCTGCGTTGGATGCATGATCTTATAATATCAGAGACAGAGGCATCCCCTTGCACCTACCTACTCGTTGCCAATTGCCACGCCAGCCAGAGACACTAGAGCGCCAATCATCTTGACTGATGGCCACTAATAAGCGCGCATGCATGAGCAAAAGCAATCCTGATTACCGATGACAGGGCGAGCAAGCCAAAGCCAATGGCGAAGGGCAGCTCGATCGCGCCAAGCAGATCTCCGCGGCATCGGTATCGATGGCTCGGCGCCGAGCGGGTGAATATGCTTCGCTACGACACCGACAAGGCGCCGGGCACTGGCGCCATCGCCGTCACCATCGGGTGGTGGTGGTGGGTAGCAACTGGTACTCGGTACTCCCCGTAACTAACACACGCTGTGACTGTGAGCGCACCGGCCACCTGATCGACCAACTACTTGCGTACTGCCTGCGCACCCCGTCTGATCTGACCTGGTGCCGCGGAAGGCATTCAGCGTCGTTTAGCCCGCTGGGTGCCTCCTGGGTCCGGTGGTGCAGGATGCGTCACGGCAGTGTAGTGAGCACAATCGTAGGTACGTGTTTATTTGGACCGACGTGGTCAAGACTCAAACAGCCTGTGAGAATGGCTAGGTTGGCTGGTTGGTTACGTTACGTACCAGGGCGGTGCGGAGGCCGAGCGCTTTCCCCGCGGCGATGTTCCTCTCGCTGTCGTCCAGGAAGAGCTGACACACAGAGCAACCACCAAAAAGATTTTAGTGATCATTTCGTTGGTATAATAAATAATGGTACATACGACGGATATATATAATAAGCTTAAATTGCGGATAAGTGATAAGCGGATTGCTGGTTATTACCGTCCGGCGTGGGTTGGAGCCGGCGACGCGCAGCCCCGCCACGATGGCGTCCACCGCCGGTTTGAGGACCACGACCGGGTTGTCGCCGCGCTCCTCCCTGGCCTCGCTGAAGAGGTGCGGGTTCATGGTCTCGAAGCACACGACGGCGTCGAAGATGGCCTCGTCCACGCCCAGCCGCTCCAGCGCCCGCTTCATGTGCGCGCGGTCCGAGTTGGTGAAGAGCTGCGTACGCCCATCATACATGACTCACATGGTTAGCTGATCGATCGGTCGCGTAATGTACGTATGCCAAGTGCCTTGTTTCTTGATGGATGGGACGGAGGGGTATCGTGCAGCTCACCACTTTGCGCTGCGGGATGCTCTGCAGCAGCCGCTCCAGCTGCGGGTCGGCGGGGATCATGTCGTACGGTAGCCTGCCGTGCACGTAGCTGCAGGTGAAAGCGGAACCCGGTCAGTTTTGGACGAAATGCGATTGCGGCCACCTGTAACTTGCGGCAGGCTTCGATGAGGAACCAAAATTGGGTTGGTGGTGTGTTGCGTGCTGACCTGTGGTACTCGTCCGGGTGCACGTCAAAGCCGAGCGCCTGCGGAAATCGAGACGAAACCAGACACGGAATCCACGAACAAAGCAGTCAGAACCAGAAAGATGATAATCGAGAAGCGACGAGAGCTAGGGGTCAGAATTCAAGTCGGGTAAAGGAAAGGAACGTCACGTACGATGAGCCCGGCGAGGGAGCTGCCGTGCGTGCGGAAGAGCTCGACGCGCATGGCGGCGGCCTTGTCGGCCGAGACGCCGAGCTTGGCCTGGAGGAACTCGTCGATGTTGCGCTTCAGTGCCGCCCCGATGCCGGTGTTGCCCGGGTACAGGGTGTCGTCCAGGTCTGCACGGAGCGCGCGCGCGGGCCACAAAAAAAATCGCACGAGTTATTACATATGTAAAATCATCGACCGACAGCAACGATCGCCCTGGAGTGAGTCCGATCCGTCCTGGACTGCGAGCTAGCTAGCGATCGACGCTCACCTAGGAGGACGCAGTCGAAGGGGGAGTTCGCGGCCATGGCGGGCGGGCGGGCGGGCGGGAGAGCTCGAGAAGACGAGGAAGCTAGGAACAGGGGAGATTGCCCGAACCGGGACGAGCTGCGCCTGCGCGATGATGTCTCGAGCTATGCACAGAGCCGGGGCGACGAGCAGAGCGAGAGAGATGGGGGAGCGAGGCGTAGCGTTTAAATAGAGCTTCGGGCGAGGCCGGGGGCCGGCCGCGTGGACCACGGGGAAGTGGCGCGGTAATCCTGTCCGCCAACGTGCGTCAAACACGCTACAACTCGGTTTCGTGGGGCAGGGCTCCCAGAGCCGGAGTAGTAGTAGTAGTTTTTAGCGCGGCTCGTGTTCCTTGCGGCGAGCTCTGCTCAACGTACGCGTCTACGCTTGGGCGAGGCCGCCTTTTTGCCTTGGGGTCGGCTTCGCTGGAGCTGCCTGCTGAGCCACGATGCTGCCGGTCGGTGATCACTGATCGCTCATTGGTGGTTAGGCTTATATTCCTTGCACGTGGCGGTAAAAGTTAAGACTATTAAATTTCATCAAGATGCTAAATTGGCATATGTTGTGATGTATACACCTGGTCATCGAATGGTTGAACCTAGATGAGTAGATTTTGGTCTCGTTCGCTTGTCTTAAATTTGGCTTGTTCGGCTTATTTTTTTCAGCCGGAACAGTATTTTTCTCTCACAACAATTCAGCCGGAACAGTGTTTTTTAGCCAGTTTCAGCCAAAGTTCAGACCAGCGAACGGGGCCTTTGCCATAAGAAATGTAACTAAGTGCGTACCATTGATGGTTGATCCTTATATCATCAGTATGCCGGTGGTACTTTTCCAATAACTTCTTGCTAAAAATCTCAAACACATATCTCTAAATTTACCATTTTTTTGATGGATTGATAAAAACTCAACTTTTTCAAGGCATTGATTTCAGATGCAAGAATTCGAGATTTACCAGCTTTTAGCCAAATACAGTACGCGTTAACAAAACTATAGTAGGCCTAAATGTCACTTCAATTTTCAACCCAGGACGGATCCAGGATACGGAGTACAAGCTATGCTGCCACATGACAACAATGCCTTCTGTCAGTGTCAGCCCCACAATGCAAGCTTACGGCGATATCATCATTATCGTGAGATCCTAATTTGCCCTGCCACAGCCCACAACATTATGCTGGGCCTAATTCTGTCAGCCCAAAATACGGTTAGCTCACTGATCAGCCCAAAACAACCTTGTGCTCCACTCGCGTCCGGGTTCCCCGGAATCCAGAAGGTTCGCGCGAGAGCTCGAGCTCCCCGTCCCGGCACAAATCCAACCCGAACCTTCGAGACCCCGCGCCTCCCCCCGCCCTACGATCCAGCGCCATTTTCACGATCCGGAGGTTCCTTGCCCGAGCAAACGACCCGACGCCCGGCGCGATCGCGACCTCCGCCACAGCTGCAGCGAGAGCTAGCCAATGGACGTGCTGAAGCGCGAGCTGCAGCGCAAGCGCCAGCTCCTCAACGCCGATTTCGGCGGCCGCAAGATCCTCCGCCGCGCCGAGATCGAGGCCCGCGAGCTCCAGCGCATCCGCGAGGCCGAGCGCCAGCTCCTCCTCCAAAAGCAGCTCAGGCATTCCCGCCCGGTGTCGTCCCCCTCCGGTTCCTCCTCGCCCACCTCCGCAGCCGCTGACGCTGACGCCGACGCGTCGCGGGCAGAGAGCGGCTCCAAGGAGTCGCTCCCGAGGGAGGAGGTCATCCGGCGCCTGCGCGTGCTGCGGCAGCCGGCCACGCTCTTCGGCGAGGACGACGTCGCGCGCCTCCGCCGCCTCCGGGACCTGATCGAGGACCCCGCCGCGCTCGCCGACGTCGACGCGGCGGAGATCGGGAGGGCAGACCAACGACTTCCTCCGCGACATCCAGGCGCTGCGTGCCAAGGCTGCGGCCGCGACGAAGCCCAAGGCGGCCGGCGCGGAGGCCCAGCGTGGGGAGGTGACGGCGTACCGAGAGATGTGCCGTTCGAGGAGCTCTGCGACGAGGATCAGATCACCGCGTTCTTCAGGAGGCTGATGGGCGAGTGGACTCAGGAGGTGGACGGTATGCCTGAGGCGGAACGGCGGACGGCGAAAGGAAGGCCGCGGTAGCCACCTGCAAGCAGTGCGCGCGATACCTCGACCCGCTCTTCAAGCAGTGCAAGAACAAGGTAGGGAGCATCCAAGTGTCTCGTCGTACTAACAGTTTGAATGACCGAATGCTTATTGCGAACGTTGGTTGGATGAATTCATAGGTTTGTTTCCCCATCTGATAGCATGCTTTAATAAGAACTCTTAGTACGATTTTGCTTTACTTTGTTTTTACAACATTGAATATTATTATTATCTAATGCTTAGTGATAAGGAAGTGTAGGAAGCGTGAATATTATCTTGGTGATTAGCGGATTGCGTATGATGTAGTGAACGAATGATGGTTCATGCTGTTGTTAATACTCCATGTTCATTTCACATTTAAGATCTTATCTTTGTAAAAGGATGGATGCTGTCTATACTATATCTACGCCTTACCCGATGAACTAGTGATGCAGTTTCTGATAAATATTTGTTTAAATCTGTATCTGAACTATTTCTTCTATTGATTGAAGATTCTCACAGCAACGAGCAATCCATTTAAGGAATACAACCATACAACAAAGACAACAGAGATATGATGTATGCTGTTTTTTAACTGTATGGGTTCTGATATTATTGATTTACCTTCTGAGGTGTTCAGAGAGGAAATCTCTGTAACATAGGAAGGGATTTGTCTTAACAATTCACTTTTGCCCTTGAATAGGAGGGCATCATCCTGAATGCACAAACACAACCATCGACGATCCGGTTGCACCTTGTGCTTTAAGTAAGCCCGCTGATTTGTTTATGATCTCCCCTACCTGCCAGTATTGGCGACTATTTTCTCTCGAGATCGCTGTGCAATCAAACTTTCACTGTGAGATTATTTTAGTTATTTCTGAATATCTGTCATTTTTGTTAAGAGTCATTATTACAGCCACTTTGCATCACTGTACGCTTAGAATAATGTTTTAACTGGAGGACTGCCTTCTTCATGTCTTATGTATGTTTGTTTATTGCATATCTAAGAACAGGAGCAAATTTAGGTCCATTTATCAGGGTCCACTGACCAGATAAAATCTACTAATCCTTTAGTAAAACACCGTTAAGACTTAGGACTTAAGAAAATCCATGTCATGTAATGAAGTTGACCCAGATCACCCAGGTGATGTTCCCGGCTAGATTCGCCTAAGGAGCCATGGAATAATGTTTGCTTCCTATTAGATTTTTAAGTTAGCCAGATAGGTGAACTAGGTTAAGCACTGAAGCTATTCTAATTTCCAACTACAGCGCTGTTTTTGCTTTCCTTCTTATTTTATAAAATTAGAGTATGGTAAATACGGATTCTTAGCAACTCTAGTAGATCTTATGTTCCTATGTGCAGACAATCTTGTATCACAGGACTCGCGTTCATTATTTTGCATCAAATTGCAGGCTCTCCCTCCTGATGTCCGGCAAGCATTGCTGGAGGTTGTCAAGTGCTGTATGAGACGAGACTACTTGGCTGCAGTGGACAACTATATCAAGCTAGCGATAGGCAACTCGCCATGGCCAATTGGTGTGACCATGGTTGGTATTCACGAGCGATCGGCTCGCGAAAAGATCTACACGAACAGCGTGGCTCACATCATGAATGATGAGACGACCAGAAAGTACCTGCAGTCTGTGAAGAGGCTCATAACATTCTGCCAGAGAAAATACCCCACTGATCCATCAAGGTCGGTAGAGTTCAACAGCCTGGCAAATGGCAGTGATCTGCAGTCTCTCCTGGCGCAGCAAAACGGGAAGAATTCAGAAGAAACGCTTCGGTTAGTGGCTGCGTCATGACAAGGTTGGATTAGATTTGTGCTCGGAATTCTGGGCAAGTTCGATTCTTGTGGGATTTGTGATTCGAATTAGTACTTATTTGTAAGAACCTGAATTGCATATCCGGTCGTTCTGCCTTACTGGAATGTGGAACCTAATCAAACTGGAGCGTTCTGATACTGTTGTTGGACATTGCTAGACTTTGACCATATATAAAATTCTCTCGTAATTTTCTCGTCTTCAGTAGACAACACTGTAGCTTGCTAGTTCGAACTTTTGCATCAACCCCTTCCAGGAATCGGCAAAGTTGTAATTTAGGCCTTGTTTAGATGCACTCAAATCCATACCATGTTTTTTGAAAACATGGCTCCAGTGAGATATTTTTTTTTTCCAAAAAAGGTAATATTCACGCTCTAGCAATACCATGTTTTGAAAAATAGATTTTTGTAATTTTTGACGGAAGGCTTGTTTAGTATGCAATAGAATTATATTATATTGGATCCATTTTTTATGTATTTTCATAATATTTACTTACGAAACAATTGATAATATGTTATATAACAAGTAAAGGCCAAAATATACTTCAAAAGACCTTGTAATCGCAGTTCACTTTCACAAATTTTTTTCAACTTTTTACAAGTTAAGATAAATGCCCTATCAAACAAAACTAGATTCTTTGTGTAATATCCCGAAGAATCTAATGAAACTAATCTGATTTTATAGATATTGGTGCATTTCTTATAAACTTTGATTTGAAATTATACCTGAGCAAAATGATCCCGGCCTCGAGCGCTGATGGGTTTTAGCCCGCCCACGAACCTCCATCGATAGGCACTGGCAATGATCCCATTGTCCGAAATTTTTTTCTTTCCCGAACCCGGTCCAAAATACTGTTTTTCCTATTTTATACTATAAAATGCACGGGCAGCCCACTCCAGGCCTGGGCCCGCCCGAGCCCAGCCCCAAAAAAAAAATAGACCCGACTTGTCTAGTATGACGGTCATGGACAGGACTTTTTCAGCTTAAAATAACCAGGATTTTTGGCCCAGCCCAGCCCATAAAATGCTTAGGGTCTATTTGAAATGGACCATAATTTAAAAAAAAAATACATCTATTCTTAGATCCACTTGAAAGGCTGACTAGCAAATTGTCTGAAACCTGCCGTTTTACACTTCTACACTTTCCTTTCCTCTTCTTCAGACTGAGTCAATCTATATAAGACAAAATCAGTAGGCAAATGTGACACTGTATCCCACACATACGAAGCGAGAGTATATATCAGGCATACTACACCAGAAGATGCCCAAGCTGCTTTTTTTTAGCACAAAGTGCCCAAGCTGTTTTTTTAGCGCAGAGTGACCAAGCTGATGGGTAAAGAAATATGACATTAAATCAACTATCAAAATTGTTTTAATTTACAATTCTTTCAACCCAACTAAGGGCCTGTTTGGAATGCGGATTTTCTCTATTCCTACGTTTTTCCTACGTTTTTTCCTGTGAAATTGAACTGATTTCCGTGAAATTCCTGTGTGATTCTGTAAAATTCCCTGCGCCCAAACAGGCCATAAAACTACCAAGTGAACAAGGTATATAGCTTTACAACTTCATCGACGATGTGGAGAGAGCCCAGTCTCGTACACATCCGTGCAGTTCTGCAACTGCAGCCGATATACACACAGGATGCAAGCAGTGCCCCTTGTGCAAAACCTAAGGGCACATGAATGCGAAGCAAACCCCAACCCTGGCTCGGAAGTACAAAATAGAACACAAAAGGTCAAGCTGTGAAAACTATCATATGCTTTACACCGTTGAGGCTATTTGGTTGGCTATGACGACAGCACGGACTGTAGAGCAAGCTGTTGCTGTGGTTGCAAAGAAGACCATGTCGAGGCTAATACTGAAGGAGGCAATGTTGCCTGAAGTTGCCTTAGTAGATTAATCATCCTGCTGGCAGTCTGTTCTGTTGCTAGATCTTTGCTGGCACACAATATCTGCATTCCATACAAAAGGCAGATTACGTCAAGTAAATAATGCTCTAAGACCATTGAGAAGTCACTTGGATAGCTCAGTTTCCTCCAAGTGCTGGTCTTTTAAACAGTTAACCAGTGGGCAGTGGCTTCAGCTTCTCTACAAAGCCAATAAGCTACAGCTATCTGAACTGGTGTGGAGTTATTATGCTAAGATGGCAGAATCCACTAGATCTGTAAATCCTTAGTTCTTTTCCAGTGTTTTTCTTAAGATCATTGCATTATCATGCCAACAGTAGTGTTGTAATAACTGGTGTTAATTGTTGATTAACAAGCACACATGGAAAGGTAAAACCATATGCTTTAAGAATGCATTTAGCAGTCCTCTGGTGCCTCTGCAACGGTTCATGAGTTGCAATTTATCCATATTCCATAGACCTTGGGAGACAAAAGGGGGATAATATAAAGAAAACAAGATTCAGGAAAACAGGAAAAGGTAAAAGGTACCTCTGCAAAAACAGACACGATCTTTGGAAGATACTGATTATTATGACCCAAAAGCTCCTCTCAGACCTGTTGAATGTTGATTACACACACACAAAAATAGCTGTTAAAGAAACATGAAATAAAACAAAAGTCTAGACAATAGGGAATATTGGTTAATCTCAGGAAAAGCAACTCTGCAGAAATAAATTGTGGGAATCACTTACTTCTCAAGCATCGCACACAGCTGTTCATGGACAAGCTTGGCCTCAATTAAGTCATTTTTATCGGAAGGCAACTCAACCAGGCAGGAATTACCTGTTCAATGAACCAAGTGATGTATGGTCACAAAACTTTGTACAGTTCATAAATTAATGATGTAGCAACAAGACTGTTAGCAGTTAATATGAATTGCCCATCACTTCAACTGTTGCATTGAGAAATGGAATGATATACTACAATAAGGCTCAATGGAGCAGGTTAGATGCCAAGGCAAATGCTAGAAGAACCATATGCCTAAGTATTGTTGAGTTCGGATATCTTGAAAGCATAAGATACCTGAGATACATCGATGCTATCACGATGAAATTGACATATTTTTCCAAGAGCGGAAACAGCATTGTCATAGGCCATCGCATTATCCAAATCCAGGGCATTAGGATGTTTGATTACATTGTATAATCTGGATAGGGCCTCTGTAGAAATAAACAAGATTGTTAACAGCATCGAATGACATGCAACTATACACAAATCCAATACAACATAAATACAAAATACATACCCCAGTGTGAGGCCTAAATGCAGAACCACCACATTCGCACAAATGCCAATTCCATACACTGCGGCCTGAAAACAGCAAGTTGGAAATGAAATCGCACACTCTTAAGAGATAAAGGTTGCTGTTGCACATAATTCTGCTGCACTGGGATGTAGAACAAATAAGAAATACAAACCTGCCTGACATCTGGATTTTCACTCATGCAGGCTTCTAATAGAGAAGGAAGGTATGCATCATAATACCTGAGAACCAGATATCATAAAAAACATGTAAAATGATCACAACTCACACGATCTTCGCTTCTTCACCAAACAAAGTGCTATGCATGGATCAAGATAACTGTTACCTAACTGCTGCTTCACGGCAGTGCTCAGCAACATCATCAAAAATGCATATGGCAATCCTTCTTCTTCTGATGTTTTATCCTTGCCCTAAATTGGTGGAATGTTAAAAATGTACAAACAATGTTTAGTTTACCTATCATTCAACAGTGCATTTATGTTTCATGTGAATATGAGTTCCGAGGTAATTAATCTAGAGTAACATCAAATTGTGATGTAGTGTTCAGTGCTCACAACCCCCCAACAAGCAAAGCAAATGCACTAAATCCAATGGTTCATCATCTCACTTACCAACATAGGTGTCAAAATACACGGAGAGTTCATCAAAGAACGGAAGAAAATAAGCCTTGAAGGTTTTAACAAGAGTGCCTAGACAATCACCAACCTGCAGTCACAGAAGTACAGGTTTTCAAACCAATAAGGTTAAGTAATAAGCACTAACAATTGTTCCCCACACAAAAAGTAGGTTCAAAGCACAATACAATAATGCATCCACCTTTCCAGTAAATTTCTGAGGTAGCTAATTTCTATGTTAGTGCACAAGCATTTGTATCAATCAGAAGCATGAGTAGATCTGGTATGCCTTTTAGGAGAGTTAGAAACTCCGAGATTTCAGTAGCTTACTTGGTCAAAGATTTCATCTTCTTGTTCATTTTCTTCTCTGAGTAGCTCCTCTTCTTCAGAATCGAAGTCCTCGGCCCTTGCCCTTTCTGTTCGTTCTATCCTCCTGTTAGTGCTTGCAACTATTACTTCTTTGATTCCTTCCACTGCAGATCTTACTTGATTTTCCTCAAGAAGTGTTCCTGATAGCTGATCGAGAAAAATGGGTAAAAGATTATTCGAGTGACAGCACACAATACCAAATGTAGTGCAAAGCTAAAAGGTAAATGATGCCTACAAGTTGATTAAAAGCATTGACAATGTCTTCTGTTACAGATATAAGAAACTACTAAGACTTTATTTCTGAAAAAGGTAACACAGCGCATTAAAGGATAACTGGGTAAGGTAGGACTTTTTTGCCAAAATAGCCAAGTAGCATGGTAGGACCATGTAAATATGAGCTTTAGGACAAATCAAGCAAACTCTGGACAAACTAAAAAAAAATCCAAAACCCACTATAATTTAAACAACTCTTTTTTTTTGAATAATCTCATTATCGCACTGTTTAAACCACACCAATATGTCCAGGTCCGCATGGTATCATGCATGTATTCAAAAGTAGACACAATCATAGTCTGGTAAAGGGAATGAGATTGTAAATAATAAAGCATGTAAATTTAACAGCCATGTGAACAAAAAGAATGTGAGGACATGGAAAACTGTACTTGAGATGAAGCAGAAGTTCTCATGAAAATAAGAGGTCTTTTCTTCAGTCAAATATCAAATATCATACAAGTGCAGTATTACAAACCTGTATAGATTCATTCAATGATTCCAGTATGCTTGCACAAATTTGTGGCTCAGGTTCCTGCTTAGAATTCCAATTACATGCTTAAATCAAATCATGTTAACGAACATAACAAAAACTCAAGAATAACACGCTTTTATCAGCATAACGCCCTTACTTTATGCATGGCCTCTACAAGGGCTGGAACTATGTAATCAGACAGTTGCTTAAGATAGGATTTATCACGACCTTGAGCTTGACCCTTTTCTATAGCCAATTTTGCTGAACGTAGAAGCTCAGGCATTGCTGCAAATAGCATATAATGTATAGCACAAGACAACATGCTAAAAGAAGTAAAGACATCAAAATTTTCAGTCGCATACCTGAAATAGCTGCCTTCCTAACTTCTTCATGAAAATAGAACTTAAGGAGAGGTACAAGCGTAGTCGTAACCTGTACAGATCCAGATATAGCTGTAGCTCTTTCATGAAACTAGAACCCGAGGAGAAAGAAGAGGTTGAATAGTGATATAACCTGATCAATCCATGGGAAAAATCCTTCCTTGAGCTCATCAGCGAGCAACACAGCATATTACATGCTGGCTTTCTCCCAGTAGACTAGTTCGGATGTCGATCCTCTTATCACCTAGTGTGATAGTCTCGACACTGCAGTAGTGCAGGCAGTGAGTACAACATTGCTAGTAGACAGAATAAGAGCCTGAGACTGAGAGCATCTCCACGAGTTCCCCTATCCAACCTTAGTGTCAAAAAACTCAAAATTAAGATTCATAGAGCAAAAATCACCTCCAACAGCCCTCCTTATCCAACATTTTTATTTAGTGGTATCCTAAATCACCTCACTCTCCCTCAAATTTGTGGTGACATGTCCACACTATATGTTATTTGAGATTGAGGAACTGTTGAGAGATTTGTTGTTGGGATGCACCCTATATGAGGATACAAGGGAATTACGTAGGAGGACTCTCAAAGATGCTTTAAGACCTAAAAAACCTTCTATACATGACTATTCAGATAATTCATGTTTGCTTAATTTGCTAGTGAGATGGATGTGATGACCCAAAAAGTGAATCCAATACAGGATATGAAACAACCATTGATATCAACATGACATGGGAAAATTCTTAAGATGTGCCTATGACCACACATTAGATTCAACATTTCCATCATATGGCTATCACCAAAAGATGAAAGGTATCCAGCAAACAAAACATAACGAAAATGACATACTATCAAAATATGGAAGAAAAACTAAGCATACCCCCGTCATCAGATTCACCATTTTCATCTTCTGGTCCAGAAGAAGTGACACTACATCTGGTTTGAGCTGAGCAGACTGGAGCAGAGGGGCATAACAACACTCATGTATGGTAAGAAATCCTGACCAAGGCATTTACACAGTCTTGCCCATGCCTACAGAGGCGAACAGATAATTCAAATGAGAAAAAAGATTTGAATTGCCAAAAAAAAAAAAATTGAGAACAAGGTTTCAATTTCTAACATACTTGCAGCATGTAACTTGTTATAGGGTCATCAGCCTCCATCTGAGATCCTTGCAGTGTCATAAGGACCTCCATCACTAACACAAAAATGAATTATCAATAGCATTAACAGATACAGAACAGATAGCATATAACATCCTACAGTCCAATTTGATTTCTTTATTGAGTACAAAGGCCACAAAAAATAATGTTTTATAATACTTTTATAGAAGGAAAGAGTTATGGACTGTATACTGTAATATAAGGGGAACTAGGAAACCATTACCTGCTTAAGCATCGTCCTTAAACTTTTGTTTCCCAACTGCCATACCAACTAAACTGATGCATTCCATGGATTTGGCATTAACATTCTGTTGGATTTATCAGTTGCATTCATGAGGATAGCCCTTGAGGTATGGCATTACTGCATCATAATATTTTTGGAAGTGTTCCTGAATCAATAAGATTGAATTTTTTTGTTAGAATGTTAACAAGAAGACTTGAACCGTATTTTCTGATATACCTGAGAAGAATCTGCTGCTGATGCTA